CCACTACACCACCTCCTCCCTACAGAAATTTATAGAAATTTAAATTTATAGCACACCTTAATAAAGAAACTAGATGGGAGCACCATTTACTGAAAGTATACAACCTCAGCACCTTGGGAGTAAGGAGTTCCTCATCCACACTACGAGGGTGCCTCTTGGATTTACCTACATTGCTTTGAAATGGCCACCTCGGAATATACCCCGTTCGCTCACCATAAGTTCTGCTGAGAGAACAAAGAGACGAGTGAAACTCCTTGGTGGGATGTTGCGACAATACGATAATTTCTAGAATGATGTGTGTAGGTGCCGATAGAGCTTCGAAAAAATCGTTAAATTCATTAGAAGGAGTAAGGATCTATAAAAATGCTCACCATTGTCGCCTAACGATGGTGGACCACACACCACACCGATGGGCCGATACCGAATCCTGAAGCGAACTCCTATCAAGCATGCAGCACACAGTCGCTCCTCTGGGTCGGATGATAACCAGGTTTGTTCAAGAAGATGACTCGCCGACCGATGGATCGATTTCCTTCACGTGGTCAATGGGCAGATCAAATGCTCGCATCTGCGAAGTACCATCGAAAAAAATCAAGGCAACTCGATCAACTATTGATCAGCATCAGGTGACTTATTCATGACCGTTTCCTGTCACCACCCACCCAAAAGAGTGTTAGGGTTTCACTGGCTGCTTTCATAGTCCGCGATTTGGCCCGCGCGCGGGACTACTCGACCGGCGGTATCGACGAAGATTTAGTTGTGAACAAGGTGCAAGCGCCGCCCCCAGCACGCTCGTGCGCCCGCGGGCCAAATCGCGGACTATGAAAGCAGCCATTGGTGATCGGAAGGCGTGATGGATCTAGTAGCTCTTGCCTTCTTAGGCTCATTATCGGCTTTTTTCAGTTGTTATTACTCCCTTCACCTGCCATCAGTACCTATGTCCTGTCACCTACATCTTATCCAAATGTGCACGCTTCTGAAGCAGCAGAGTTACGAATNATATGTACCATGGGCACTCGGAACAAACACATATACATAATAGGATTCTCATTTCCAAAATGTAAAGAATCAGAACAAGAAAAGTCGTACCTTCAGTCATGGAAAACCGAAACATGATCAAAATGCGCCATGCATCTCAATACTAATAAATCATGGCATGTCAAACATATGACATCTGGCTCATATCTTTATGGACTACTACCATTTTTTATCATCCTAACCCAGGTGAAAATGTAGTTGAGGGACACCAGCGCCCTTCTGTGCCCTGCGTCTCTGACACTAGGCAGCAGAGCGCAGAGATGATTTCCAGCCTTGCAGGCCTCTCAACAGTGATTCGTTACAAAGCTTTTTGATAATATAAATACATGTATGTATATGTATGTTCTTCACCTAATTTACCTTCAAAAGGGCGCTGTCTTTCTCCCTCCCCCCGCCAACTACAATTTCACCACACAAAAACGTATGGTAGATGCATAACCTTTTCACCGTGTTTCTTACGTATTTCGTTTGTATGCTTGCGTGAAGGTTGGTACCTCTTCATCTCGTGTGCATGACTGAGGAATCTCTTGGAAACGATCTTATGCATAAATCAATGTAATAATTATGAGATCAATCAAAATCCCAGTCCTCAAGCTGTCTAGGAAAACCTGAAAGAAGATGCGCTGGAATTGGAATTCTCCCGGATTGTGTTTTGAGCTGGAGAGAGGCTGGATTATCGGTAATAGAGGTGTAATAACATTTCATTCCCGGTTTACTACGCAGCGAATACGAGTGTCCTATGAAATGTTGGACACTGAAAAAGCTGTTCTACTGTTGAAGCCATTGGTCATATGGAGGGTGGGCTAAAGCTTGATTTGGTTGCTCGATGTTGCCCTCCTCCTTGAGTTCTGCATTCCGTTACTCCGTTCACTTCGTGGAATGAATAAATTCGCAAGCGGACAAGGTGTCAAGAGGTAAAAACTTCCTTTTCAGAAGATAGCGCCATCCATCCTTTACGAAGGCTGGGATCAAGCTGGGCCTCGTAAACATGCAAAAAAAAAAGCTGAGATTGTTTATTGAGATGTTCTTGTTCACTGCTGTTATGCAATGTGAAAGTCCACAAGGTTAGTGTGTTATGGGCCGAAAGTTCGACCTCAGACGGGACTCAAACACGTACTCGTGCTTTCTGGGCACCGTGCTTTTTACCTTACTTCGATGATAGCTTCGCCCCACTTTACCGATGTGTCTCAAATTAGATGCCCTACAATCGATCTGACAAACGACGTTTGTCGAATGAATAACCGTTTTTCTATCATGGTAAGATGACGCAATTTTCTGATAAGAACTGCTTGTCACACGGTTTGTCAAGCCGACTGGAGCCATGTTTGCGGCTCAAATATTAACAGGTCTCCGTTACAGATGCTTTGCCAGAAAAAGAAAACAGTCATGCTCGAGAAAACACTTCATTCCTTTTTATCAGCATGACGACGGTCCATAAATGAAGTTAAAGGGTAAGCTCACGATAACTTGGGGAATCTAGTTTAAGAAGAATAATGGAAGTGATGCTTCAGAGTTGTGCAAAAAACGCGAAGAGAGCGCCATAATCAGCGTATTTAGAGAAGTATTAGGCTTCAGAACTTCCAAGAACAAGGGTTGGATGAGAATCTGACGACAGAAGCTGCATGGGAGGGGAGATTTCGGCGAGCCACTAAGTGTTCGCGCCTACGGCAAGGTGCCTGCGTGCAATGTGTGGGTCCCGGTGCGAATGTTGTAATCTCTACAGCCTTTACAACGCGGTGATGACTCGTCCGCCTTGGGTGTGTACGTCGGCTAAGCTGGTTTCGATGCCTTCATTACGCTCTATTTAGGCCGTATTCAGTCGAACAACAACCTTTGTGCTTTTCTTGGGGATTCACAGGCTCATAAAGGTGGGGAACCTCAAAAGCAATTTTTTCAAGAACGATTTCAAATCTCTATTTTGAAGTTGTTAAAGTATCATAGACTAAAGTAATGCGTAGCCCAAAACTGTGACTAATACTCTTTCGTGACCAGTACAGGAAGCGGTGCTTTTAAACTAGAGCAAATCTTCTACTCCTGGAATTTCGCGAATCAGACGTGACTTCGAAGCGCTGGAACGAACATCCAGGCAACACTGACCCGGGTGAAGATGAGAGCAGTGCCTGCGATTGCGTGGGGACGTACTGAGAATACCACAGCATCACCCGACAAAAATGGTAACGAAATTCGAAACGCAAGGTAAGCGAAAAGGAGGAGCCCCAGAGGTGGCAAGACTCCGTCGACAAGTACCTCGCCGAAATCGAGATGCTGGCAGATGCTACAGATAGAATTGAAGGCAGAGTTCACGCAAAAAATTGGTTTCCGAGATTCCCCCATGAGATGAATTCGAGGCTCCTCTTGATACCATATGTGCCGATCTCTGGTCGAGAAACGTCTGGAAAAGCACAATAAGGGCTCAGAGATTGTATCATGTCTGAGCGCTACAATCACAGCTTACAAGACTCAACGACGCTGTGGGTGGAGGCTGACCCACCTCAAGGGGATCCCATGTTGGGAGTTCAAACAACTGTCATGACCAATGGCGACAGAGGAACAGACAATTTTGACTTGATGTAGTCAGCTCTTTGCGCAATTTCAAAAACTGAAATCTCGTCCGGGAACCCTTTTCATGCATTACCGTCTAGTAATCTCGTACAACCTCAATTTTGACTAGTTTCAGAGAGCCTTTCGTCGCGAAGTAAGATGATTTTCTCACTTTCATCGCCATCGATGCACTGCCACATTAACGCTTGGCTTTTCAACTCAGAAAGGGTATCTCAAAATAATCATGAACTGAGCCTCTAAATGGAGACGGTTAGCAAGAACAGCGAACCCTTCGACGGCGCGGCGCGGAATTAAGGCTGGGAGAACAATGAGGCGAAGAACATGTGACTTCGAAGACTTGCGCTCACCTCTGAGAGATAATTTAACTCTAAAATCTGGAAAACCTCAGAAAAAATTCCCCCTCGAATATTTTCAGGCCTAATGAAGACGCTGGTGGGTCTTTTTTTTGGAATCACAAACTAGTCGGGATAACGATACACTGGGAATTTCTTCAATCACCTCCTTGGAAGTAAAGGTTCTTTCTATTGGGGTTCGACGTCGCCCTTTCTCCTTACTTTAGCACATGGTATAACGTTCTGGTGGTTAAAAGTCTATTATGCAACTCTAGTTCATGGCCTCTTATTCTATATTTGAAACAATTACCCACATACTGACCTTGTTCGCATGCATTGTTAAAGATTCTCTGAAGTCTTGTCAAGCGCTTTATGAACTGTGTCATGAAATACTTGAAGAGCTTACTTCATTACTTCTTGTGTTGGAAAGGTAACTCATATATTAAGCTGACGGTGCCACATGACTGCATTACTCAGTCGCTTTGACTCTCTAAGAAAGGCAAATCTACGAATAACTTACTATCCACGTGAAGACTTTAAGCAAGCTCGAACCAGGCTCATGAATACTTCCTTAGCCATAAGTCAAACTCGTGAGGCATGCCGTGATGCATCAGCGAGTTTACCAGATAGGTATCGCCTACGGAGACTATCCATTGAGAAAAGTATGAATTTCTGGCGCTACTCAATCCTTTTTTGGAATGCGCACCCGCCCTCGATCTCGTTTAGAATAGTAGAGCGCCTTGAATCCTTATGTGGTCTATGGAATGAAGTGCGTTGGCCAGCTCATGTCAAGACAGTGCTTTTATCATATCAGACGATCTGGTCCTAGAAACCCACGCCGGAGGGATGGAAGGCTTGGTTGGTCAAAGCATATGTTAACCGGGAATCCGATCCTCATCCCATGCGTGTGCTACAGTGTTCCACTTACCACTTCACCACCTCCAGCCAGGCTCTCAGTTACACTTTTTGAATTGAACTCAAAAACCTTGTGATGCACTAAAACTCCTTCTTTTCTCACTGTTCATCAGCAGGTTCCTCTTGTTCTTATTGCATAACAAATAGAGCTTCTCCTCTATATGGCCGTAATAAAAATATGTCACGAAAATTCGCGGAACACTAGGAAATATACATATAAGAAAAACAGGCAATCTTACAAAAAACGCAACAAAGTCAACAACACATGAAAAAACTAATTTCAACCCGATTCAGTTTCCATTCAAATTCATATATATCCTAAATATAGTTATACAAGAATAAGTTTAATAATTGACTAATCTCATTGGAAAGAAACAGAGTGGTCGGCTCATAACTCAATTGTTGAGTCCTCCTCACAAAGAGGACAGCGAAAGCGTGGCATCGGCAATAGATATGGGTTCTCAGGCACACGATATGTTATTCTATTCTTGAAGTGACGAAAAGGCAGAAAAAACCGCATCTTGCATCTAAACATATGGTGTAATCGCAATAATATTTCCGGGCAAATGAGCCTAGTACAAAACACGCAACGCTACCGCTCGCAAGTCTTTAATAAAACTAGCCTTACACCACTAATTCTACTTCAGTACAATTTTAAGTTATTGCAAGCACTGCGTTAAAAAAAGGAAGGGTGTATGGGTACGATCTCGCTTGAAATCGCTGCGCTTTCGAAGTCTATTTAAGTCGTACTAAAGTACCAGGCGGATCGCGTGCGTCAGGGACTCTAGCCATGAGAGGATGAGCTGATTTCCACTATGGACCTTTATCGGATTTATGAGTTTCCGCTCAAACCCAGCCTCTTGTGAGCGAAGTCTGGTCCTTCTGGTCCTGCCATCCACCATAAGTGTTCCCATCCTGTCACCTATGCCCCTACCAAATTTGAACTCTATAGTTCCACGTAACAGGAGCTATGAATTTTCGTATATAAATATAAGAAACGATGTGAACTTCGAGGCACGTTCCGTCCATTGTGGGCGGGCCTCCTCTGACGCCATTTACGCTGCAGACACCTTCGACAATGCTTCTCTCTCATCAACTTTTTTCCTGCTCTGTTGGCATACTCCAAACCGAGTTACAAATGTTTTCATAAAGCATGCATGTTTGGAGAACTGCCCGCCAATCGGGGGTGGGTCTCCCCAGTTGGATCTAACTTACCAATGCACACCTCTAGCCACCTTTACACCCCAGTTTTGAAGCCGTCTTGTGA